AAAAAAAAAAAAAAAAAAAAAAAAAAAAAAATTTATTTTAATTTAATTTTAAAAAAGGACAAAAAAGGGGGGGGGGGGGGGAGCAGTTAGAGCCCAGCCTTGTAATACCAAGGTAACGGATTCAGATCCCCATTCAGGCCAACTGCCAAAAAAAAGACTGAAAGAGGATAAAATGGCATGGGGTGGGAGGATTTATTGCTTTTTATAAGCTTCATAATAGAGATAGTTAAACAATGAAAGCTAAGCTTTGACAGGTACAGCAGGTTTAAAGTTGAGTGTTGAATGTAAAGATTATCAAACATGACTATTATTATTCACTATTTGCCAAGATTGGGTCCACAGTTTCATTCCCCATTCTCATAACCCCAGAGAGGAAATCAAATCCCAGAGGAGCTGTGAGACTGGCTCAGAAACAAGAGGCAAGCTGATGACTGAGGTGCATTATAATATTCATGTTTGGGGCTTTCAGCAAAGGGCCATCTGTCCATGACTTCTTACCCCTTCACAAGGGTTGCCAGTTCCCTGCTCTACACAGTTGCTTGACCTACGGCAGAATGCTGCCCTGCACAGGAAGGTGGAGGGAATCACTAATCAGGGAGCTCCTGATGTTCCCTGTTAATCTCACATTCCTTCTTCTGAGTGGTTGCAAACCACTCAAGAGAAGAAAAAATCTATCAATCCATTTCAATTTTTTTGACACCCCACCTCAGTCCATGAGTTTTTTTTCATTCAAAAACTTTTATTGAGCATGTCTCTTCTCATTTAAATTTTTATTTTTAATTGAAAAATAACAATTACGTGTATATATGGGATACAATGTAATGTTCTTATACACATTATGAAATGATCATATCAAGCTAGTTAACGTATCCATCACCTCACAAATTTATTTTTTTGTAGTAAAAATATTTAAAAACTACCCTTTTAGCAATTTTAAAACATACATTAGTATTAACTATGGTCTCCATGCTATGCACTATCCTGAAAACTTTTTCCTCCTTTCTAACTGAAACTTTGTACCCTTTGATCAACACCCCCCATTCCCCACCCCTACCTCCAGCCTCCAGCAACCACTGTTTGACTCTCCACTTTTGTATGTTTATTAGATTCCACACGTAAGTGAGATCATGTGGTATTTGTTTTCCTGTGCCTAGCTTATTTCACTTGACATAATGTCCTACAGGTTCATTCATGTTGTTGCAAATGACAGAATTTTCTTCGTTTTTAAGGCTAAATAGTATTCCATTGTGTGTGGAATACTATTTTTATCCATTCGTCCATTGATGGACACTTAGAGTGATCCCCTATCCTAGCTATTGTGAATAATGCTGCAATGTACGTGGGAGTGTAGGTATCTCTTGACATTCTGATTCCAATTACTTTGGATATATACCCAGAGTGAGATTGCTGGATCATATGGTAATTCTATTTTTAGTTTTTTTTAGGATCCTCCATACTGTTTTTAATAATGGCTGTACTAATTTTAGTACTAATTTACGTTTCCGCCAACAGTGCAAAGATTCCCCTTTCTCCACATCTTCACCATCACTTGTTATCTTTCATCTTTCTGATAATAGCCATTCTAAGAGATGTGAGGTGATATCTCATTGGGGTTTTAACTTGTATTTCTCTAATGATTAGTGATATTGAGCATTTTTCATGAACTTGTTGGCAATTTATATGTCTTCTTTTGAGAAATGTCTATTCAAGTCCTTTGCCTACTTTTTAATCAGGTTATTTGTTTTCTTATTAGTCCTTACATATTTTGGATATTAACTCCTTACCAGATGTATGGTTTGCAAATATTTTCTCCAATTCTGTGGGTTGTCTCTTCACTCTGTTCATTGTTTCCTTTGCTGTACAGAAGCTTTTTAGTTTGATGCAATCCCATTTGTCTATTTTTACTTTTTTTGCCTGTGCTTTCAGGGTGATATTCAAAAAGTCATTGCCCAGACCAATATTGTGAAGCTTTTCTTCTATGTTTTCTTCTAGTAGTTTTACAGTTTCAGTTCTTATGTTTAAGTCTTTAATACATTTTGAGTTGATTTTTCATATGGTGAGAGATAAGAGTCCAATTTCATTCTTCTTCATGTGGTTATCCAGTTTCCCCAACACCATTTATTGAAGAGACTACCCTTTCCTCATTGTGGAACCATAAAAGACCCTGAATAGCTAAAACAATCCTGCACAAAAAGAACAAAGCTGGAGACATCACAATACCTGGTTTCAAAATATAGTACAAACCTATAGTCATCAAAACAGCATGGTACTGACATAAAAAACATATGCATCAACTAATGGAACAGAATAGACAGCCTAGAAATAAACACATGCATTTACGGTCAATTGATTTTTAATAAAGTCACCAAGCCATGAGTTTAGATATCAGAAAACATAGGACTAGAGGGAAATTTAAAAGTTCATTGTTCCAGGGCCAGCCTGTGGGTCACTTGGGAGAGTGTGGTGCTGATAATGCCAAGGCCACGGGTTCGGATCCCTATATAGGGATTCCCGGTTGCTCACTTGGGATCACTTGGGAGAGCGTGGTGCTGACAACACCAAGTCAAGGGTTAAGATCCCCTTACCAGTCATCTTTAAAAAAAAAAGTTCATTATTCCAACCCTTTTCTTCAGTTGAGGAAATGCCAATCAAGGGGTTCAACTAAAAATTTTAAATAATTCTTCCACAACAAGAGCCATTTGCTCTGCTCTAGCCATTCTCTTGTGTTCCTCTCATCCTTTCTAATCATCCTGCTTTTCCTTTAATCTCTGACTTCTCACACAGCCATTCCCTCTTTTCTTTCTCCTCTCCTCTCTTCCTTTACTGTGTCCTAGGGTTAAATGATTACATACAAAGCAACTGAAATACATAGTACCAAGTACCAACCATGGGGCATGGTGATGTTAGTCCTCACTTTGCTTACATACTTACAGCCTTGTGGGCATTCTCTTTCTTTGAATTGTAAAAAACTTGGGGAGTAGATTTGTACAGCATCAAGCACTGTCACTCGCAACTAGCCATTTAATCAAAATTCTATTTTGTTCTTTCTACAACAAAAAGGGAAAAGAGCTTCCTCATTTCCTTTCTGCATATTCCCTACTCTATGTAAGTTTGTGTCCTGGCAAAGGTAAGAATGAGCCAGTGGCTGCTGGAAGATTCTGAACTGGCACAGCATCTAATGAAACAAATATCCTTTCCCACATATGTCATGTTTCCAAGAAACCCTGGCCTGTGCTGAAATAACAGTCAATGATTATTTTCCAAAGATTATTGGAAAAAGTGCTCTGGATACAAATTCCTCATGCAAACTGCTTCTGTAACGGTCCAGAGAGTAAATAGTTTAGGCTTTGCAGGCCAAATGCAACTATTCATCTCTGCCCTCGTAGCATCAAAGCAGCTACAGACAATAGTAAGTAGATGCGCATGGCTGTGTACCAGTAAATTTGATTTACCAAACCCATGTGGAAGAACATAGTTTCTCCCCATTTGTCATCTCCACATAAAAGAGAAACTTTTCTGCCACTGCCCCTCGTATTTACAGTCTCTCTAGTTGCCCCTCACTTCCCTCTCACCTCTATGCTAACGCCTGTTTTGTCCATTCTCTAGGTAAAATCTCTCTGGGAGATGGAAAGGGTCAACAACACACTGTTGACTGCGTTCATCTTGACTGGAATCCCCTACCCACTCAGGCTGAGGACGTTCCTTTTTCTATTCTTCTTGCTAATCTACAGCCTGACTCAGCTGGGGAACCTGCTTATTCTAATGACTGTCTGGGCAGACCCGCAACTCTATGCCCGCCCCACGTACATCTTTCTTGGTGTTCCCTCCATCATTGACATGGGCATGTCCTCCATCATTGTCCCCCGCCTCATGATGAACTTCACTTTAGGCATCAAACCCATCCCATTTGGTGGCTGTGCTGCTCAGCTTTACTTCTATCACTTTCTGGGCAGCACCCAGTGCTTCCTCTACACCCTGATGGCCTACGACAGGTACCTGGCAATATGTCAGGCCCTGAGCTACCCCGTGCTCATGAGTGCTAAACTGAGTACCTTGCTCGTGGCTGGAGCTTGGGTGGCAGGATCCATCCACGGGGCTCTCCAGGCCATCCCAACCTTCTGCCTGCCCTACTGTGGGCCCAATCAGGTAGATTACTTCTTCTGTGACGTCCCTGCGGTTTTGAGGCTGGCCTGTGCTGATGCAGCAGTCAACGAGCTAGTGACCTTTGTGGACATTGGGTGGTGGTTGCCAGTTGCTTCTCGCTGGTCCTCCTCTCCTACATACAGATCATTCAGGCCATTCTGAGAATTCATACAGCTGATGGGCAGCGCCGGGCCTTCTCAATGTGTGGAGCCCATATAACCGTGGTCACCGTATACTATGTGCCCTGCACATTCATCTACCTGAGGCCCGAAACCAACAGACTCCTGGGCAGGGAAGCTGCCCTGTTCCCCACAGCCATCACTCCTTTCCTCAACCCCCTTAGCTACACTCTGCGGAACCAAGAGGTGAAGCTGGCTCTGAAAAGAATGATAGGAGGTGGAATAAGTAAAAGTGAGGTTTGAAGGTGTCTGTCGCCCACTAAGGGAAACTTCAAAAATTTATTTTAATGCTTAGGTTTCAGTGAGGTTTTTCCTCTTCCTCTTCTTCTTCTTCTTCTTCTTCTTGCTTTTTTTCTTCTGTAGCCCTCATATCACACAACAAGATCAAACACAGTTTAAAGTAAAACACCACTTTCAAGCAGTTCCTTAGTATCCCCTCCACTTAAACAACTCTCTGGTGCTACAAGAGTAGAGAGTGAGACCAAATCCACCCAGAAGATAGCAAAAGATGGCACGCTTAGAGACTCAGGGAATTCACATACCAAAAGCATCCAGTGGGCTTTCCAGCCTCCAGGCTATCATTGGTCAAGCCCTCATAAGCTGGACTACACTGTAGTTCTCTTAATGGGGGAATGTCCTTCAGTTCTGTTCCAATTGGATATATATACCTTAGGCACCAGTGTTGGAAGGGAAACTGTTGATGCCTTGCTATGTGCATCTTAACAGGCTTAGTTTGGGGGACTTCCAGTGGCCACCATAGGTGTGTAAAGAGGAGCTAAAGCACTTACTCTATCTTGCTTGCTAAAGAAATGAACCTTCTCTTAAACTGGTGCTTTCATAAATCAAACCAAATTAACAACCCAGAAAAAAAAGAATGCAATAAAATCTTTTCAAATGTCTCAATAATAAATTCCCCACACCAAAATGTAAAGCTCCATATGAAATTTCCCACTGAAAGAAAACAGGGTAATTGATCAAGGCACCAAGATAATTTATCCAAATTAGTGTCTCATACCAATTTAGATTTAGGTTGACAAGCTTTCATGGAGTTGGCCAGGGCCTAATAAATTTGAAAAAATTTGGTGCAGTATCTCTGGTTTCAACCCCTTAGTACCTCCAATCTTATTCTGTTATGCTTCTGCTTCATTCTTTAGCTTTTTTAATTGGATGGTTGCTTTATCCATGTGTTGAAACTGTGTTATTTATAAAGCAAAGTCTCTCAGTCATGGCAGATAATCAAATTTGGTCATGTCACTGTTCATGCCTAAGGAACTCACAAGTTCACCTAATTAGTATAGGAGACAGAAAACTAATCGTTTTCCCTTGGATGAAGCTGACCCACAAAGTTTTTCAGTATTTTGTTCAGAAAACAATCCACTAACATCAACTTCCTCAACCTAGAATATTAAGTATAAAATACATGTCTTAATCTTTCCAAATATTTAACAAATAAAATGATTGAATCATGAATTATAAAAATAAGCTTAAATCTAGAGCTCAAAAAAAAAAAAAAAAAAAAAATCCAAAGGCTATTATACATCTTGTTCCTGTTTTCCCAGTGCTTAGCACAATTGCTGTTGTGGCTATTATCTCAACAATAAAATAACATTAAAATGATCTGTAGATGTAAAATTAAAAAGATTAAAATGGAATAATTCTAAAGCAAACATTTTTTTAAAAAGTAGATTGGGCACACTGTATAAACCTGACACCAATATAGGCTTATTCCACTAATGTAATTTAAGTTTTAAACCATAAAGAAATCTAATAAAAGCAGTAAGCTATAGATAAAGTTCCTTCTTCTTTCTAGTACCCTCTTATTAAATTTGAATTAAGCATTAGATTAAGGTTTTAAATAGAATTATAGATCACCTTCCTTAACATTACAAAGATTGCTTCATTAGGGTGATAAAACCACTTTTAATTCTTAGTTGTAAAATATTGTTCAATGCACCTTGATTTATTCAGTCAACAAAGATCTACTGAGTGATTACCATGGATTTGGTACTGCTCATGGCACTGGGGGTACAGTGACAGATACAAAAGATGGATTCTTGCTAGTGTGAAGTGTGCAGTTTATGAGAAGAGACAGACAATTCATAAATAAGAAATAAGAAAAATACTGTGTAATAACATGTGCCATGAAGAAAAGAAAATAGGGCTGTACCAGGATGCTTTCAGCAGCGAGTAACAAAAAACACAATTCAAAAACTGATTTTTTAAAAATGAGAGTTTATTGACTTGTGTTCAGCTGAAAAGATAAGGCAATAATCAGGCAGGGTTCAATCAGGGCTCCTGCTTCACTTTTCTGCAGTTCTCTTGACTTTGTCTCCCCTGTGTTGGTTCTACCCTCGATCTTGTAGTCAAATGACTCTAGCACTTTTATACTCCAAATCTGTATAGAACATCTTCCAAGCACACTTTCTTAACAGCAAAGAAACATTCTTTTCACGGGATGAAATATCAGCCATGATGAAATTATATGATGTCTGGGATTTGTTTTAAAATAATCCAGTGTTAAGATTCCCCGTCCCACTCCTTAGGATGGCCACTATCCAAAAAAAAAAAAAAAAAAGCAGAAAACAATCAAACAAACAAACAAACAAACAGAAAATAACGAGTTTTGAGGAGGATGTGGAGAAATTGGGACCCTGAGAATTGTTGGTGTAAGATGGTGCAACTGCTATGGAAAATAATTTTATGGAGATACCTCAAAAGATTAAAAATAGAACTACCATGAGATCCAGCAATCATGCACCTGGATATTTAAGCAAAAGAATTAAAAACAGAGTTTCAACAAAAAAAAAAAAAAAAAAACAGAAAATAACAAGTTTTGTCAAGAATGTGAAGAAATTGGAATCCTTGTGCACTACTGGTGGGAATGTACAATGGTGTAGCCACTGTGGATGATAGTATGGTGGTTCCCAAAAAATTGAAAATAGAATTACAATATGATCCAACAACTCCACTTCTGGATATACACCCAAAAGAATTGAAATCAGGATCTCAAAGAGATATTTTATAGCATGAACCCATGTTCATAGCAGCATTATTCACAATAGCCAAAAGGTGGAAACAACCCAAGTGTCCACAGGCAGATGAATAGACAGACAAAATGTGGGACATATGTACAATGAAATATTCAGACTTAGACAGGAAACTGACACATGCTACAACATGGATGACTCTTGAGGACATTATGTTTAGTGAAACAGCACAGTGACAAAAAGACAAATACTGTATGATTCCATTTACATTAGATACTCAGAGTAGTTGAATTCACAGAAACAGAAAGTAAAAAGGTGATTGCTAGGAGCTGGAAGGAGGGAGGAATGGGGAGTTGTTTAACAGGTACAGAATTTCAGGTTTGCAAGATGAAAAAGTGGAGATCACGGCAACGTGAATGTACTTACACAACTGTACACAGAGAAATGGTTAAGATGGTAAATTTTATGCTATGTGTATTTTACCACAAATTTTTTTAAAATAAAAATTAATCAAGTAAGGCAAAGGGAGGAGGGGATGGAGGAGAAGAGACACAGATGAAAAAGATAAGCCACATGTTGTCTGAAGCTGAGTGAACACGGGGGTTCATTCTACTATTCTCTTTACGCATGTATGTTTGGAAATTTCCATAACAAAAGACTTATTGAAAGCCATAGCCATGGAAATCTCAGGAAAAAGTTTTCCAAATAGAGGGAAAGACTAGTACAAAGCTCTAGGATGGAAAAAATGTGACATTTAAAAAGAAAGTTGTTATCGTTGAGAATAGGGTACAAGGGAGAGGTTACACGATTACACTAAAGGTGCAGGTCGTGTAGTCTCAGAAACTATGTAGAAGTTTGGATTTAATCTAATATGATGGGCAATGTGTTAGTTTTCCATTGCTGTATTAACACAAATTTATCAGCTTAAAACCACATTCATTTATTACCTCACAGTTTTATAGATCAAACGTCCAAGCATAGCATGATTTTGTTCTCTGGTCAGGGTCTCACAAGGCTAAAATCAAGGTGTCCCTGAGCTGCATTCTTATCTGGAGCTCAGGGTCCTCTTCTAAGCTCATATGGTTAGGGCAGAATTCAGTTCCTTGTGATTATTGGACTTCAGTCCTTCCTCCCTTGCTGCCTGTCAGTCGAGGACCACTCTCAGCTCCTAAAGGCTGCCCATATTCCTTGCCACGTGCCCTTTCCTCCATCTTCAAAGCCAGTGTGACATAGTGAGAATATATATTTCGTGTCTGCCCCTGGTTCCTGACACAGAGTTCCCATAACCCTACACAGCTCCTGCATAGCTTGAGAATTGGGGCTGGTTACTTGCAGCCCCAACCCCCCTCCTCAGGGAGAAGAGAAGGTACAGAAATCATGCCTATGTGATAAAGCCTCCATAAAAATCTTAAAAGATAAGGTTCAGAGAGCTTCCGGGTTGGTAAATACATTCACATGCTGGGAGGGTAACACAGCCCAACTCCATGGTGACAGAAGCGCCTGCACTCAGCACACTTCCAAATCATGCCCTATGAACCTCTTCATCTGGCTGTTCACCTGTATCCTTTGTAATATCCTCTACAATAAACCGGCAAGCATAAGTAAATGTTTTCCTGAGTTTTGTGAGCCATTATAGCACATGATGGAACCTGGGGAGGGGGCTGTGGGAATCCCCAATTCACTGCCAGTTTGTTAGAAGTGCAGGTGACAACCCAGGACTTATGATTGGCACCTGAAATAAGGGCAGTCTTGTGGGGCTGAGCCCTTAACCTGTGGTATCTGATGATGCCAACGCGAGGTAGATAGTGTCAGATCAGACTGAACTGCAGTTGGTGACCATGCAGAACTGGAGAATTGTTTGGTGTGGAAAAACCCACACATTTGGTGTCAGAGGTGGTGTGAAAGTGTGGAAGGAAAACATTTTTTTTTTTGTTTAGCCAGCAACAGAGAAATTCCCTTGCCTAGAATCCCCCTCATTCTCCTAATCTCTCTGGGAAGAACCGAGTCCTTTTTAAGGGTTTACCTTAAGCCAGATAATCTTCCTATATTTAGATCAACCCATCTGGAACCTTAATTATATTGGCAAAATTCCCTCACATCAGCACCTAGAAGGAATTTTGATTGTGTTTTATTAAATAACTGGGAGAAAGTCTGTACAGCAAAGGGGGAGAATCTTGGAGGCCATATTAGGCAGCAAATAAAAGCTTCCCAACTTTCTCAATTTTCGTACTGGATGAAAGAGTTGATTTTCTAGAA